CATTCACCCCACCATCTGTCAAAGTTCCTGCTCCTGAATCCTGCTAACTCAATATTGTCGATACTGCCTACGGGAGGTCCTTGGAGGTTAAGCAGTCGATCCATCATTAGAGTTGAAGAAATTTCTCCTCGGCATTGGATCTTGTCAGCAAAGAATAAGCCGATTGGGAGTTGGCCTAATCCAAGTTGTCTAGCTGAACTCATAGGGTGATAGAATTCATAGGAGACTTGGATATTTCTTCCTTGGTGAATACCGACAGGTAGGATGCATGGGCTGATTGCAGCTGTAAAGACTTCCCTGGACGTTTGATATCTTTCATGATTGATGTCTTCAAATCTGAAGTCTAATGGGAGCTCAAGGTCTGCCGAGTCTTCATAAAGAAACCAAACCCGGGCATCTTTCTGGAAGCCTTCATAAAAGCTGCAAAACCAATCTTTGAGCAGCTCAGCCGATAGTTTTGCCCCAGCATCGGCTGGTGTGGATGCATATTCTCCATATGACATGCATCTGCGATGGGTGCGTTCTTCTCCATCGTCTTCTACAATTGGCTCCAACCTTGGGAATTCAGCTTCTGTTACAGAAGGCCGATTGACAACTTTCATGACTACCAGGTTTAGCCAGGTCTGCAGTAGCCACCATGGTCCACCTGCTCCAACTATTGAGCCGACGGCTATCTTAGCCGATGCATTGTTCAACATTTGGTATAGATAGCCGAGAAGGATTTTGCCCAAGGGAAATTGTTTCTTTGATTCTAAGGCTTCGGCTACAAATTGCCAATTGGTTGTGGGACCACAGCTGGATCCACAGAAGAGAAACTTTTCTAGCTACATTAGCAAGAAAGCTACGTGCTCCCGAGGAGTGACAGGCCCTTTGCCCATGTATGCCGCTACATAACTAGACCACCCTCCTATGCTTTTGGTCTTGAAGTCAAATTGGTTCTTGGTGTTCATACTCATAGGGTTGGCCGATGAAATTACATCTAATCCAATAATCATGATGATGTCGATCAAAGTTGGAGTCATCGGCCCTTGGTTAAATAAGAAGGCATTGATGGTGTTGGACCAGAAATAGGTGGCGGTAGCCATCAGAGGTTCATCCTTAGCAGAATTGGCTATGGTGAGAGCAAGCGCTTGGCCGATCCCAATCTCATCCCAGTGGGTTTTCTTACTAGCCGATATGCGTTGGTACCAGGTGGTCCAGCTCTTATCAGGGGTAGGCTTTTCAAGAGATGGCCAAGACTTGAAGGTATTCTTCTAGTGACCCAAGTTAGGGTTGGCTAGTCTAAAGGGGATTCTGTTGGTTTCACCAATGATGAAATCAGTGGGGTCAAGATTGCCGATTGGGCTAAGAAAATAGTGGTTTTTGTGCGATAGGCTGGGAATCGCAACTAGGTTGGAAAGGTGCTGCAAATCCAAAGGAATCGGGAAGCAGAAAACATAATGAGAAAAGGAGAAATCGATTTCATGCGAGGAAAAGGGATCTAGCCAGTGAGAACTTACCTCAGCGTACTCGGCCGATGGCGCAGTAGACGGGCTAGTGGAAGACGGCATCGCCGCAGGCGGAGATCTGATCAGAAGCGGAATCGCTTGGGGATCGCTTTTGCGTCGGAGGAATCGCCGGAGAGAGAAAGGATGAAGTTTCGCTTGGGCGGTGAAAACGGAAGTCACAGCGTGAGATTTTTTTGAGGGCAACGGTTGGTATTTAAAGCGATAGAATAACGGTCGAAAAACGGCAGAGTGCGAGACTTGCTCGGAGTCGGTACAAGGCAAATCCGGAACATTATCAAATATCCCGGACTTGGGGGGCATGTGTTAACGACCAAATTTGGCAATATCAGCATTGGAAAAGGAGATTAGATCAAGGTGGAGTCGAAGGCGGAGATTGATCCAAGAACAGAGCAAGAATCGGCTGAAGTGCAGATCGGCTACGATTAGGATCGGCTGGGTCTGAGTCGGACTAGGTGAGCCGATGCAGCCGATTCTGACAGTATAATTTGGTGTATGACATTGGGTTGAATTGAGGTGCTTCAAGATGATTGCCACACATGGATAGAGTCCTGAGAAGGCAATTGTATCTATTAATTAGGATATTTTATGTAACTTCCTTAGAGATATGTTTGGGCAAAAGTCTGCCGCAAAGACTTATGAGATCTTAGAGTTTGTTAGAGATAGTGGTCGTGTCCGGTATGGACATATCTTGTAATTCTCGGGTATAAATAGACCCCGAGCCCTATGTAATTTTTAACACACACGTTCAACATAATTTCGGCGCATCGCCACCTTTTTGCTTTAGTTTTGTTTCGACGAGTTCTTGCTTTCGGGTTGAGCTGCAACGGTTTCGATCTTCAACAAGAGGTAAAACTTGTTATGACGACTTGTGTTCTCGGGATTAGTACTTCCATCTTTATGACACTCTAATCTTGTCTATATAATTCGTCAAGTTATCATATATCTTACATAATCTTTGGCAATATCGTCATCTAACCCACAATCGGCTAACATCTGTTAATAAAAGGCAGCCGATTAGGTTAAATAGCGACGTTGTCCTAGATTATATAAGATATCTACCACTTTATGAAACACCTAGCAGCTTGATTGTCTAGATATTGTTCTTCTCTTCATACTTAATGCTGCATCAGTTGAGCTTGATCTATTAAGTCGTGCTTAGAATATCAATCTCTAGCTTGTTCTCTGGTTGCCGATTAGGGTAGTATCGGAGTTTCAGCCGATCTTATCTGATTTAACCATATTCGATCTATGTGCTTCAATGATATGTTAAATCCGCCCTTTATGTCAAGATCTTAGTGCATTTAAGTATATTAAGCTTTTGTTTGGTATATTATATTTGTTTTGATATCTTTATATAAAGTAGTATCGGAGTATTAGCCGATACATGCTAGATCTATCTGATCGGCTATGCTATAAACATATATAATCCTGTTATTAATATGTATTTCGATCTAAGTGATTTATACTGTCTCGGCATGGTGACCGATCTATCCCAATCACTTAATTTAAGTATATATTAATATAAGAACTATATATCGTTAATATCTACAGCCGATCGAATAGATTTAGTTCCTTACTATCTATTTATAACCGCAGATCGATTCATATATAACATCGGCTCAAAGATAAATGATATGTCATCGGCACCTAGCCGATCGGCTATCATTTATAGATTTAACCACGAATTCTTTGTCTCTATTTCTTGTTGATTACAGGATCAAATCAACTGGCACGCTCATACATTCGAAGGCGAGCTTTGGACCTGCACTGGAGTTAAGCAGATCTCCCAGGCCTCGTGTTTTCTATCAACAGCGCCGCCGCCGCCGCCGCTCGCCGTGGGGGAAGGTGGCGCCGCCGCCACACCCCGCCGCACCCCGCCGTCGCCACACCGTGCAGGCGAGAAGGGATGGACGGCGCCGGTGGCGGGGGAGTCGGCCGGCTGGAGGGGAGGGGGAGAGGCGCCGGTGGGGAGAGGGAGAGGGGGAGGAGGAGGCGGCGTTGGGGGCGGGGAAGGAGGAGGCGGCCAGCTCGGCTCGGCTGGGGGGAGGGTTAGGGTTAGGTTTTCATCAAATTTAAACTGATCTGAGGCGTCCATCAAAACGAACGGCTGAGATCGATTGAAGGTTTGGGCCGCACCACTTGGGCCGCACGTGGGCCGGCGGTCCACTAAGCGAGAGAGGAGGAGTACGGGGGTATGGGGTATTAAGTAGACTTTGCTCTCTTGCGGGCTGAAAAAGGCCCATAGAGAAAAAAGGATTTTTATTTAGATTTTTATTTGAATAAATGCTGAAATGATATTTGTATTATCAAAATTAGCAATTAAGCTATGTAAATTCTAAGAAAATTTCAATGAGTGTAATTAATATAGAAAATTTAATAAAAGTTAAATCAACCATAACATTTTATTTCTTACACTTACTTTACTTATAGATTAATTTAATTATATACCTACCTACTTAAAAAATACCAAATATTAGAATTTAATATGTTTTAATTCAATTTTATCTGTTTTTTCTTTTCGTTGCAACGCAAGACCACTTTTGCTATAATTTAAAAGAGTGTAATTAATATTGCAGAAAATTTTATATTTCATTAAATTATAATTCATTTTCTTCATAAAAATAGTTCAAATCAAATTTCAGTCACCATATCATTACCCGGTGCAACGCACGGGCATTTTGCTAGTAAATACAAATATTCAGTTGTGCAGTCCGATTTCATCCGAACTAGAGTAGAGTTACCTGAAAACCTCGCCTGAGGTCGCAATGCTTTGGAGCTGGAGCGCCCGCGTCCTCTCCCACCCCATGGCGCGGCGGCCTCTCTTCCTCGCGCCGCCGATCCAAACTGCGACCACCGCCACCAATCCCGACCACCGTCCATGTCCGTGGCTTCGTCTTGGAAGGGCCGGACCGGGGGGCCGCTTTCCGCCGGCGGCGACTCCACCTCTCCACGCCAGCATCGTCGTCGTCCACCGTCCGCGCCTGCGCCCATGTCAGCCGTGTCCTCCGGCTGGAGCACGCCGGTGAGGGTGCCCTGTCCTCGTCCTGCGCGACTGACATATATACGCCCGCATCTTACACCTCCGAAATCTGGACGGACGCCGGCGCGGGCGGTGGCAGACTCGCGGCGGTGCTCGAGCTCGTGGTCTCATGTCCGCGCTCGCCCTGCTGCTAGCACTCGCCTCCCTCCGTGCCCACACCACGCTGTGGACGACGGCGACGATGGACGCCGACGAGGATGGACGATGCCGGCGACGGATGGACGCCGGCGCAGCTGACAAGGGCGCCGGCACGGGCGGTGGCGGACTGGCGGACTGACGACGACGGCGCCGGGCGGACGGAAGACGACGGCGCTACGGACGGAAAAGACGGAGTGGCACGGAATGAAGAAAATTCATGCTCCGATGGCGTAATCTGAAAGTAGCACGAATTGAAAGCAGTGCAAATTCGATGGCATATTCTGAAAATTCTCCTGCCCGACCGACGTCAGCGACGCGTGCGTTCGTTGGCGTCTACTTGTCTCCTGAGATTTTCCCCGTCTTTCCACTGTTCTTCCTCCTCCTCCCTCGCCGTCCTCACAATTTGTCTCTTCCCCTAATTTCTCCCCCCAATTTCGTCCCTTCTCGGGTCTCGAATTTGTCGCCCTTCTTCCTCGCGATCTGTCGCGCTTCATCGCCATCGGCGACCTCGCGCGCGCGCCGCCGGCGCTGGGGGGGCGCCGGAAGCCTTTCTCTCGTCGAGAGGCGTCGCGGCCCCCTTCGCCCCCCCCCCCCCTCTCCCGACTCCTCCGCGGCGTGCTGGGCTAGCGCACGTGCAGCGTAGATCCATCCGGGTTTGGATTGATTTCTTATTTTTAAAAAAATCGGTAAGGAACCCTAGCTTTGCTTACCTCGATGGTTCATTTCGATCTAAATCTTTATTTATGCCCGTCGTTCAGTTAGTGGTGGAATTATTTGCTGCGCGTTGCGCTACTAGCCTAATAGACTTATCCGTGGCTGGTGATTCCATGATTAGGTACTTATTCTTCTTCAGAGCTCAAGATCAACATGAGTTGAACCAAATAATTTTGGTACTCTAGGTGCGGGCGCAGTTACCTTTTTTTTCCAGAAATCTATGTGGTTCAACTGAATTTTCCATGCCCTATGTTAAGTCTGCCGCTGCTCCTCTGGATAGGAAAAGTTTCCAATTAGGTTGTACCTGACCAGGTTGGGTAATTTTTCGGCGGCCAATATGGAGCACCTTCCTGTTGAAGTCATTGGCAACATTCTTGCACATCTTAGCGCTGCACGTGATGTCATGGTTGCCTCTGGGGTGTGCCGGAAGTGGCGGACGGCATGCAGGAAGCACCTCCATTCATTATCGTTCAATTCCGATGACTTCCCTCGGGACATGACTACACGCCAGCTGGAGATTGTCATCACACAGACTATATTTCAGACAATGGGGCTGCAGTGCCTCTCTATTCACATAGATCGTACCCATGAGTTCTCGGCAGCACCTGTGATTGCATGGCTCATGTATACCAGGGAAACACTCCGGAGCTTGTCTTACAATGTTCGGACAAACCCTAACGTGAACATCCTGGAGAAATGTGGGAGGCAGAAATTGGAGGTGTTGGATTTAGACCATAACACAATCACTGGTGTTGAACCAAGTTATCAGAGATTCACCTGTCTGAAATCCCTTTCTTTAAGGCATGTGAGCATTTCAGCCTTGGATTTGAGCCTTTTAGTGGCTGCTTGCCCAAAGATAGAGTCACTGGCACTTGATTTCCTTGAGGTTGTCACTTCAGATCCACAGTCTACAATGGAGCTGACTAGCCATACCTTGAAGAGCCTATTTGCAAAATCTGTTGGTGTGGACAAGATCATACTTGATACAGATAATCTGGAAGTTCTAAACCTAAATGCTTTGAACCTTGATTTGTTTGAGCTCATTGGGAAGGGTACTCTAAAGCATCTCAAGATTGACGATGTTAGTGTTACTCATATGGATATTGGGGAGAGCACAGATCATCTGGAGGTAGTGGATGTGAGTAACTTTACTATAGTCCGGCCAAAGCTGTACAGTATGATATCCAGAGCATCTAACTTGCGGATGCTACGATTTTGGGGTGTTGTGTTTGATGATGAGGATGAGATTGTGGACTCAGAAACCATTGCTGTTTCATTTCCTCTTCTAAGGCATCTTTCATTGAGTTATGAGTTACGAGATGGGCTACTTCATTATAGCCTGCAAGGATCGTCACCACTGGATAATGTTTCAGTCTTGGAACTTGGTTGGACAGTTATAAGTGAGCATTTTGGACCCTGGGTTTTTGGAATGATCGAGAGGTGCCCAAATCTCAAGAAACTTGTCATTCATGGTGTTCTTTCTGAGGCAAAAACACGCGAAGAGCGCCAGATGCTAGCAAGCTTTACTTCATTTATAGTCTGCCTCATGAGGAAGTATGTGCATGTTGATGTACAATTTGAGTACGAGTGATCATTGTCCAAGTTGGGTGGGCATTCTTGCCCTAGCTCATTCGAGACATACCATCAGGTAATCCTGGTTTTTGGACTTGAATACTATTTTTGTATAGCCTCATACAATTTTAACCTTATGCAGTTCAATCACTGTAACGTGCATTGTAGAGATGGTTCATATTGCCTCATTTTTCAATATTTTCCTGTGAAGTAGTTCAGTTTTTTTCTATAAGTAAAATATTTCATTGCTGCATCAGATTTCATGAACTTAAAAATCCAACTTTTGGGCCTTGATTGTTATGCTTAGATTCTGACGCACAGTTGCTTTCGTAAAACCCTATGTAGGGCTTCTTCAGCTCCTGCTAATTGTGACGTGATGTTAGCCCTTGGTGTAGGTTTGCTATTGATATGTGCTGTTCTTTCAGTCGTTCAGTGCTTACTTGAAGGCCCATATAGTGGAGGGGAAATCAATCATTTATCTCCTTAGGACAGCAATGTAGCATTTACCACTCCTCAAGTTGATAAAATTTCACTCTTCCCATTGCCTTTTATAGGATTCACTACTTTTAACTGAATTTCCCTTTCACCCACACCCTTTTTTCTTCATTCACTTTTTTTTGCCTTTACTGCGGTGTTAATCGCTTTGCTTTTATATTTCCTGTCCCTTGTGCACATCTACCTTGATGAGAAGGGCATCATTTTGTGATTTGGCCAGGTCATACCTTGGTTGTAGCTTAGTTTTGTTTCTGGTAATAAAATATTTGAGCTTAAATACATCTTGTGGACACAAACCATATGATTGATGCTCCTAACTCATAAGTCATACTCATACCAAGCATATCTGGTTGGTTGCTGCATTACATGGTAGACAAACCTTGGACCTTGCCAGGTTGTATTATTGACTTATTGTCACTCCCTCTGTCCATAAATATAGGCCTTTAATCATTATTGTCTTACAATTCCCGATACAATATTTTGAGTGCATTTTTCATGATATTAAGAGAGCAATAAATGAATATCTATACCTAATTAAAAAATTCATAAGGTTTCCGTTAGTCCGCTTCGTCCGTCATCGTCTTTTTGAGTCCGAGTCCGTCTTCAAAAATACCCAAATCAATCAATCAACGAGACAACAAAAAACAGCATGAAAATACCAAATTTAATCTGGAGCTCATGAATTTGATCCCATGAAACCTAAACCCCCAATCCGATCCATCTGAGCCAAGACAATACATAAACGATTGAAAATGAATCAAAAATCCACTTAATCACGAAATCAAAAATCCAAAATCATCCAGGAAAATTAAATCACAAAACTAAATTACCGACGCCACTGCTCATCGGAGCCGAGGACGCCGCTGCCCTGAGACCATGGTGGCTTGGCGGGCGCGCCGCCGTGCGCCGCGAGGAGGGTGCCACCGCCGAGGCGCTACCGTGAAGAGGGTGCCACCGCTGTGCTGAAGAACAGGGTGATGCTATTGAGGAGAGGACGCCGCCAGCCGGGGAAAGGGCACCGCAGGCCAAGGGGAGGACGGTGTGAGGGCACCGCGGCTGAGACGCCGGCTGCCAGGGGAAGGGCGTCCTGGCTGAGGGGCAGGGGAAGTGGCGTCGCCCGTGGGGGAGGAGGGGAAGCGGCGCCGCCGGTTGGGGGAGAGGGAGGGCGTGCTGGCTGAGGGGTAGGGGAAGCGGCGTCGCCGGTGGGGGAGGAAGAGGGGGAGCGGCACCGCCGGTTGGGGGAGAGGGACTGAGGGAGGGCGTCGCTGGCTCAAAGGAACGCGCAGCAGAGGAGATAAGCTGGGCGGGCGGAGGAGCGAAGTCAGGGAAAAGAGAAAGGAAAGAGATAAGGTCAGGGAAGAATCGAGACGCGTGTGCGAACCGCTCTCTTCTCTCGGCTCCGCGTGGAGGAAGAAAATTACGTAGGACTGTAGTCTTACCCTCATCTGAAAGACTTGATTCCTTTAAGCGACACATGTCCGGCACGAATCTCAGAGCAAAGCTTACTCCCTCAATCCCCTCATCTCTCCTCTTCGGTTCTCAAATCTTTTGCTCCCGATGAGATGTCGAGCTTGGGGCGGCCCCCCATGCGGCGCTATTCGGGAATTAGAGTCAAGGCATCAAGCTAGCTCGTGCTGCCGTCCTACTGCTAGAAAGATATCTCATGATTTGGAAGAACCCGCGTGCTTGCGTTATAAATTCAAATCTACTTCTTGAACTGCAATGCAAAGAGTTGCCTCATGGTGAAGTTATTCAATGATTAGATTTTGTTTGCTGTTGAGTTTAGTTTGTATAGTAAATTTCACTGATAATCTTTGTTGGTGATTGAACTTGATTGAGCCTTCAAGGATTTCTTCGTGCATTTTTTTTTAAAATTACACAGTACAACGCAGACACGCACAACGCACGCACACTCACCCCTATGAACACACACGCGCAAACCCTACCCCTATGATCATCTTCAAAGACTGGGTCGGCAAATCCTGGAGATTGACGAAGTCGGTGTAATGTGAAATAGGTTGTTTTGAAAGAAAATTTACCTACTGTCTAGACCTTGACAAAAGATTGTGTATGCGCGCAACATGAAGAATATTCTCTTAAAGCGCTTGGATCATGAAAATTATCACAATCTTAGTTTTCTGTAGCAACGCACAGGCTTTTTTTCTAGTGTATATATATATATATATATATATATATATATATATATATATACATATATGTCCCATATATATATATATATATACATATATATATAATGAAAATGTCCTGCGAGACAATCCAATGAATTACTTTTGTGTAGTAAATCCATATATTTCAATACATATTAACGGTCAAATGTTTTCCTTATGGACACCACAGTGGCCTACGTTTGTGGACTGAGGATGTAACCCTTTAGAGATGAGAAAATATAAGATGTCCTGAATTACTTTTATCTTGGCATGATAGCAACTAGCAAGAAGCTACAAAAATCAGTATCTACACAATCCAATCAATCATTCCTAGCTTATGTTTTTTTCCTTGATTGGATACTTAAGTGGTGGTAGTATAATGCTTTAAAAATGTAGTATTGTATTCTCAATAAAACATTGTGTTTGTTGAAGAACTGCAATAAGGAAAGGACTTCTATCTTGGTGTAGTAGCAACTAGCAACTAGTAAGCAGCTACAAAAACCAGTGCATATACATTTGATGTTCATCCAGCCCTTCCATGATTTGCTTATGATAAAGCAGGCTACCAACCTACTGTAGCGTATGTTTGTTACCTTGATTGAATGCTTAAGCGGCAATGATAGAGGACTTCTATAGATGTAGTGACTGTATACCCAATAAAAAATTTCTGTTTGTAAAAGGACTGCAGTAAGGAAATGTGCTGATATGTGCAAAAGCATATATGTGCTGATATGTGCAGTTTTATCTGGCAATGATAGAGGACACACAGTCAAAGCATTTTTTTGTTGTTTCAGTTATGTTGCTAATTATTTCCATGCAATGTGCTGATATGTGCAAAACACCACTATTCTTTTTTATTTTTATCATTATTTGCTACCTTATTGATTCCTCATCTCCTCCCCTTACCTTCCATGGCCATCTGGCAAGTCTGCAAGTTAGGATCACACCATTCTAGGATGAAGATTGACAGATAAAACTAAGAAAAGTAGTAAATGACACACAAAAGTACAAAGTACCACAGATTGACTATGCTTCGATGCGTCTGGTTGTTTGATTCTTCACTATTTTTCCTAGGGGGTCAATCTGACTTCTCTGTACGTAGAGCAATAATATCCACAGAACAACGACAAAGAAAAAATTAGGCACCACATCCTAATCACATGGTTTTAAGTTACAATGTTTTAGCAATTGAAATCTATCAAAGTAGTACTTATCCTATAAGTACTTGTGTATAGCGTTGACATTCGTATGGTCATTCTATATTATTTGATGCATATGGAGTAATATTTTCACAGGAGGATATGGAGACACTGCATTAGTTTTCCTGCTATGTAGTTTTTTTTTCTTGTGTGTGTGTGTGTGTGTGTGACATGATCTGCATGGACCAGGACCAGTATACGAGGTCTCTTAATGGTTGTGTCTAACTGGTGAATGTACTTATTATTCAACTTCTATGTTTCTTAGTTGATTAACTCTTTTAGACTTGAAGTATGCATGTGATTGCAGTTACAGCTTTCAGTATGGTAGTTAAATCTTTTGAGTGATCAGCAAACCATTATGATTCTTCTGACAAGTAAAGAGGCTGGGATTGAATGATTGATCATTTCAATGTTTTATAGGCTTTAGCTTTAGGAAGTAATAATTTGTTTGGCTTTGAAATTCTATGACCACTCATCATTCTTGAATAAGTTAAAATATCTGTACCGTAGGATCTATTTGATATAAGGAAAATAAAATTATTAGATATATTTGATTCCATCTACCTTTCGCGATGGCATGTTCCTGAAGCACTGATTCTGCAAAACAACGGTGGCAGACAAACCCGCTCTTTTTTGTCTTTTATCTTTTCCTTTTTCTGGGGGGACTACCTAGCAGTTCCTGTTATCAACTGTGCTGCACTGTTTTACATTTAACCGTGTATCTGAAATCTATCAGCTCCTAGAAAGAACTGTTGTGTGCCAGTTCTGGGCTTGAATCTTCACTAGTTTTTGGTGATACTGATAGATAATTGCTTTGCTTCCTTATGCATCTTTTATGATGAATACTTTTGAAAATAAATTCTGAATGATACTGATAGTTGTAGCTATATTTTTGTTGTAAATATGTCTGGTAGGTGTTAAGTTGTTAGCCTCATCACCATGCATCTGAAGAAAGATATGTTAACACAGATCTCACGCTCCTCCAATATTTTTATCTGTTAACTGCGAGTATAATTTTATTAGCATCACTTATTATTTACCCCAAACCTAATGGATTTTTAGGCATCTTGCAGATTTGCTTCTCATCCAACTTCACGAAGGCCTGTGGTTTGTTACTGTCAGCTGCATGTACTTGATCAAGAAAGTTTGAGTTGACATGTCCACAGAATAAAAAGCGCATGCATTTGCCAATACATTATAGCACAAGTCGCGCACCCTTCTCTGGAAACCATCGTCCTCTCTGTTAGTGAAACACCTCCAACTGAAATGGAATGCTTAAGGTGACATTTATTTGGCACATGCCCATGAATATAATGCCCTCATCTTTTGGTCTGTTCATGAGAGAAATTTTGGGTGGGAATTCTCTTTACATACTGTAAGTGTGAATGGAAGATTTATAAATTGTAAGTTGACTTCATGCCCACAGAAAACGTGAATTCTCTTAGGAAAATGGTTATTCCCCTGAAACTTTACGCCTTGAAATTCCTCGCGCCGAGTGATTCTATTATATTGATATTTGCTCTTAGCATGGAAGCATCACCGCCTATTCTTATTTATCCGAGCCCAAGTGTTTAAAATCCAGTAGTAGCATATAGCATGCATTAACCTTTTTTTCTAATAGCAGAACATATTCCACGAGCGGATCAAATCAAACTATGGGTCCGGTTTGGCCCGGTAATCCTATATTCATCTTCACTCACTATTCCTGAAAAATATTCCTCTTACATGTTGCGGTATTAAAAACGAAGGTTGGATTTGGTTGACAAAATCAACATAAACATTTCAGAATTGCACCGAATATCTATGGGTTAGTTTTATATGTATCCCCTACCATTGTTTTTGTTTTCTGCCAAGGCTGCTTCAATTCTGTCCCAGTCTGTTCTTCATCGCTAAACTAATTGGTTGGTGTTATGTTGAGAATCTCATAGTCCGTGTCAGAAATAAAAAAATATTAAAAGGTGGCGACCTGTTTCGTAAAATATGCAACCAGAAGCATGATGTTTTGTCAAAAGTTCAAATCATTGACTTGGTATGCTGTTGCTTTGCTCTACAAGATTGGAAGTGAGAATTTCGTAATGTCTTGAATCAGTAGCGTTTTCTCTCCCCCTTTTTCTTTATCAAGTGGATCGAAAAGATATTAGCCGTGGAAGCAAGCATTTGCATTATCCATATTCTGGACATGGAACGAGAAATTCCGATTGGTGTCATGTCAAAACCAAAAAGACACGAGCGAAACAGGGAGTAAAAAAGGACGGTACAATCTAGTCCATGTATTTATGATGTCTCGTTTTCACCTTGATAATTTACCACTGTTGAACGAGAAGAATCGTTCGCCAAAAATTTAGCCCATTTTCCTCCCTTCGCGTGTAGTTCACTTCATGGTTCGCTTATATTCTCACTCTAAAAAAATGTGAAAAATATACTACTCTACTGCAGTCCCTTCCTCTCAAAAGATTTGCAAAATCTACCGAATCTCTAAAAAGAAACTGAAATGGTGACCTTCGCATGGCATAGTACTCAACAGTATACTATAATTTTACACACAGTACGTATACTATTCCATAATTCGCTGAAGTCCCTGGGCTCCGACACATGAACAAGACTCTTGTAACTGCTCCTTTGACCAAGTTGCTCCTAAGAAATTAAAAAAAATACTACTAACAGGCAAAGAATCCCTGGAGTAAATGATCTTTGGTGGCCTCTGGAGCCAAAGGATTTGTCAGTTGTTTTGATGAAGTGACCTCATGAACTGGCCAGCAAGTATGAATGCATCTTCTCTTCACCGCACCACACTTTCCTTCAGCTAGTTTATAAATATGCTCGAGGACCTACGTACTAGTTAGGAAATGGATTAGGCACTAGTGACTTATTAGTGAGCCACTTGATCTCACAACTCAAATGACAGCATTTGTGCTCCTGACCAACAGTGATCCATAACATATCAGGGCTGCAGATCATCAGACTTGGAGAGAGTCCTCTTCTCAAGAACAAAATTTTCTCTTTGAGGAAAGAATCTTTTAGTATTTGGTGCATGACAAGGCACTGATGTTGACCTATGGACACGGGGATAAACCCAAACAAACCCATTTTGCAAGCACCCCAAAAAACCAATTTTTTTTCCATGCAAGTGGATTTTCAAATTGGATTAGTAGTATATCATATATTTGTTGGTGCTCTTGTTAGGAGTGGCCAATGAGCAAACTAATTAATTGTTTCCTTATAATTAAGCAGATGAGTATCATGGAGTGAGAGAAAGTGCATATAGTTGACAAATAAGCCCAGCTCCTCCCTCCTTTGTGCTTTTGAACAACAAAGAGATAGGAAGAGGAGGAGATGGAAGCGTAGAACAACTTCTCGAGCTCCTTTTTTTTAAAAGCTTGTGTGCCTTTCTCTCTCTCTTTTCTCTCTAGCTATTCAATGCTCCTTTTGTTGAGTACTTGCCGTCTCAGAGGGCGAGGGCCAGACTGCAACCAATGAGAGATGAAAGGTGGTTACAAGGAGTGGAGTAGGAGACAGGAACCCTGACAAGAAAGCCCTACCACATCTCCTCCTTCTCCATCTCCCTCTACACATCTCTCTCTTTCTCTCTCTCTCTCTCTCTTCATCTAGCCTGTGAAGAAAGGAGGACAAGGCTCGTAGGACGTGTTCAAAAGGACAAGATCTTCTTTGCAGTACACAGTGGATGAAACTCCAAGGCTGATTCAATTTGCCAGTGTGTGAGAAACGAGAAACAACCAAGAGGCTCATCAGGATCAAGTGGCTGATCATCATCATCTCTCTCTAGGATGGTATGTACACTCCTAGTACATATGCTCACTCTCTCCTGGTTTTGATCTCAAGTCTGTATGTAGCTGGCACTCACTCAGGTTCTCTTGTTTGGCAGTAGAGCTAGTGGTGATCATGGTGCAAGGTGAGGAGAGTTCTTGGAGGATGGCAGCAAGCACCCACCATGAGAGAGCAATACCTCTCAACCAAGCACTTGCTTATGGAGTCCAAGCCCATGCTTCTCCTTCTGTTGCTGCTGCACCACCTGCCAGCTTCTTGTACTGCTCTCTCTACCTTCTCATAGCTCATTTTCCTTGCAAAATTGATCACCATCAGGCATCAGCTAAGCTAAGCTTGCTTGCTTCTCCTGTTCCTCTCACCCCGTGCAAGAAAGAAGATGGAGGTCTAGACTTAAGACCAGACCACTACAACTTCTCTCGTTGCAACTAGAGACTGATAGTTTTTTTTTTCTCAATTTTCTTGAGTGCGCTGCTTCTTTTACATGTTTATTATTTCTCTGGCCTTGTTCACCTCCTTTTATCCATCTTTTTAACAAACTTATTCCTCATATATGCTCATGCCCTTTCCATTGGATTACACCTCTGCCCACAAACCAAAATTTCTTAATGCCTAAGGCCTGAATCCTGCGAGTGATTTGGGCACCAAGCCTCCATCTTTTCGCCCTCATCCTTATCTGTCCAGCTCTAATCCTCTTATTAGCTTTACCGGCCTCGCTCTGCATGCCTTTCCATTCTTGAAAAGTTTTTATCTTCTCGCGCGCTTTTAATTGCTTGCCCTATAGCTTAGCTAATTAATAAGCTAAAAACCCCAGCTTTGATTAAGCAGCCGGTGTGATGAGCTCTGTGCGCTACTGCTTGGGCAGGGACTTCCAGCCTGCTGCCGCGGCAGCTGCCTACTTCGGCGAGCTGGAGGAGGCCCTCATCCATGGCGCCAACGCCGGCGGCGTCGTCGATCCCGGCATGATCAGAGCCGACGTGCACAGCAAGTGTAAGCCAAATTTTCTTCTTTCTTTCTTGTTTTCTCTCTCTCTCTTTCTCTGCATCGATGTTTCGGTGTCTCTCCAAACCTTGTCCGATTGCCACACATGGCGAGACATGCCTCGCCTTTTGCGATCCAGCACACAGTGGCCGGCCACATGCACAGAGAGAGAGAAATTGTTGTTGGCGCCGCATAAATGGCGAGATGCCGATGCCACAAAGATGGAAACATGATCAAGCATGTCCTCCAGCTCGGCTTCACCTACACACTATTGGCGATTTACCAGTAGCAGCTTCTCTCTCCTGTTTCTCTGTAGCCTTGTTGGAGAGAGAGAGAGAGATGAACAGGGTAGCAGTAGTAGGAATCGATGAGGGCGGGCTTTTTAATTCTCTTTGTATGCATGCAGCGGCGGCAGCGGCAGCGACGGCAGGATATCTCGCGGCCAGGCCCCCCACGCTGGAGATCTTCCCTTCATGGCCAATGAGGCAGCAACAGCAGCTACACAGTGTAAATGGACGCGCTTCCCATGATCATTCATTCATCGTCTTCTTCTTCCCCTCTCTCTCTCTCTCTCTCTCTCTCTCTCTCTCTCTGCTCATCGCTGAACCCAAGAAAAGAGATCGAGACGACACTGTTGCCGCTGTTGTTCTTGGCTCTTGGTTCGCATCACCACGAGCAGAGAGAGAAAGAGAGAGAGAGACTGAGAGATGATTCAGAGCACATTAATCTCATGCTTACCGACCGCTCACTGTTGTCTCTCGCTGCCTCAATTAATGGCTGAACAGGGGAATTCGCAGTCAGTCGGGAGCACCACTGACTCGAGCTCAGCCCAGAACACAATGCCGCAGATGGAGTTGGTGTCCCCAGCGAGTATCAGGGCCTCCTCCGAGCACCAGCACCAGCAGCAGCAGCCGGGGCAGGAGGTCATGATGGTGACCACTGATGATTACAGCTACAAGCCAGGCCTCGCTGCTGCCTCCCCAAGCTTTCAGCAGCAGCATCAGCTCCAGCACCACCAGCAGCAGCAGCTGCACGGAGGAGGAGACCATGACAAGGTACAGCCAAGCTACTACTGGTCGTACTGCTGCTACTACCACTCTCCCCTTCTTGATCTTTTCTCCATCACCTCCTCCTGCTCCACTGCTCCTAGTACTATAGTACTCCTACAGTTCTACTCCTCCCAGCTCGAAGAGATAGAGCAGGACCACGACGACTAGCTCTCCTCTCATCCGGTAAAAGGCAGTAACTTGTCTACGAGAATAATGCTGTCAAATCGAATCGCCAAAATCTCCCTGGTCCTTGACGAAACTGTTATGAATCGGTAGTGACAATAGCATCGATCGCTCCGTCATGTCACCGGTACCCGTTTGCAGTTGTCGAAACAAGCTTACTATGCACCAGCCCTATTAGGTTATGTCTCTTTGAGTCCTAATGATGTCTCAAGGACGTACTGTAGTACTAGTACTAATACTCCTAGAAATAAAGCCATAGGCATAGAAAAGGGCACGCATGATTGTCAGGATGCAAATGGATTGTCCTTGGGATGATTTGACTAATTAATTGTAGTACTAGCATCTGGTCAATGCTGAACCTAGGCAAAAGGACACCAGATGATGTGGTATGGGTCACCCTAAATTGCCTTTTGTCTCTCCCCGGCTGGGTGATAAAAGCAGGGATGATGCTGTGCTAAACACCCTCTTATCTGTTTCTCCTGCACCTTTGGCGAAAACACGGCAATGCCTGATGGTTACAGAGCTGTGATGGCCAACATGGCTTACTGAGCCATCAGGACAGCTACAGCCGAAAGTTTTGTTGGGATGCTACAACTAGTGGCTGATGATTACTGGGCAGGATCAACAATGCCAGGACAGGAGCTTTGGCCTCGATTCACTATCTTGCTCCCCTGTAGTTGCTTTCTCTCTGGTGATGCTGAGAGGTGTGCATGCACTGTGCTGTATAGGGAGGAACACTAGTTATACGCTGCTCTCTAAAATTCTGCCTTTCTGGTTGTGTACTTTTTGCACAGAGGAAGCATGGATCCACAAGAAAAGATGGCAAGTCAGTGGATGCCAAGGTGGGATATGTACATAGTATAATGTTGTAGCTCTCATTCTCCTTATCCAGATCATTATCATTGTTTCTAGTTCTTGGACATGTATTTGCTTGCTCCAGTATCTTTTCTTACATGGTTAAACCTGCTCGGTCGCTGGGTGTTCTCAGACAGAACGGAGATTAGCGCAAAACAGAGAGGCTGCGAGGAAGAGCAGGCTGAGAAAAAAGGTGACGAAAAGAAACCCGTGAACTCAAACTTCAAGACTAGTTCAAAAGACTGCTTTCCGATCGTGTGTTTTTTTTTCTCGCAGGCTTATGTGCAAAACCTAGAGACCAGCAGGGTCAGGCTTCAGCAGATCGAGCAAGAACTCCAAAGAGCACGGTCACAGGTTACACCCATTCTGAATTTCTGATGCTAGTACTAGTACTATTTTTTTTCTACTATCCAGAAATGAAATAAATTAGCAGGAATTTAATATGGTACCCGCATTGCTTGATTGATCGTCAGGGCCTGTTTCTTGGGGGGTGCAGAGCAGCAGGCGACATGAGTTCTGGTAATCAGAGCCGTCCGTTTCTTTTTTCGATGCGTTGAGCAGCAGCAGCTGCAGCCTGCAAGCCTGCAGCTTGCAGACGAGGGTGTGCCTCGGAGTTCTCACCACGGCGCAGTAAAATCGTTTGCAGGCGCGGCCATGTTCGACATGGAGTACGCGCGCTGGCTGGACGACGACAGCAAGCGGCTGACCGACCTCCGTGGCGGCCTGCAGGCGCACCTGCTGGACACCAACCTTGGCCTCATCGTGGAGGAGTGCATGCAGCACTACGACGAGCTGTTCCAGCTCAAGGCGGCGCTCGCGCGCTCCGACGTCTTCCACCTCCTCACCGGCACGTGGGCTACCCCCGCCGAGCGCTGCTTCCTCTGGATGGGCGGCTTCCGCCCCTCCGACCTTCTCAAGGTTCGCCTCCGCCGCCGCCGCCGCCTGCATCGCCGGCGTTGCCTGCATGGGCGTGTCACGAATATATACTCATCGTCGACTATATATGCAGATACTGATACAGCAGCTGGACCCGCTGACGGAGCAGCAGATGCTGGGGATCTACAGCCTGCAGCAGTCGTCGGAGCAGGCGGAGGAGGCGCTCGCGCAGGGGCTGCAGCAGCTGCACCAGTCGCTCGCCGACACCGTCGCCGCCGGCACGCTCAACGACGGCCCCGGCGTGCCCAACTACATGAGCCTCATGGCCATCGCCCTGGACAAGCTCGCCAGCCTCGAAAGCTTCTACCAGCAGGTACGTCAACAGCTTAGCATTGTCATCCCGTTCCGTTGATCATTCATGCAGAACTTACTTTTTTTTTCTTCTTCATTCCTGCGTAAAACGAAACTGGGATTATGATGACAATTTTGTATTTTTGTTAAGTAGGAGTACTGAAGTTCCTATTACATATGAAGCCTATTGCAAAGCCTGAAAAAATAAACTGCTACTGTTTGATCATCATCGAGTAAATCTTTTTACCGAGAGCAACCAAACAAACGATGCATGAAAGAAAAACTATGCTACAATTGTCCTTCTCTGTCAGATGCGCAGCAATGCTCGCTAGCTGTTGGCCATGGCCCTACAAAGCTTTGTCCAACCTTCTCCCTGACAGGCCAACTTTTGTCAGAAAGAAGTACTATACTACTACTCCAGCTTAACACTTTCAGATAAGCATCATTAGCACTTTCCAGCATGCATAATTACCTTGTTATTAACTGAGAACAAGCTAACGATACCGGATTACTGGTACTACCAATTATTGGATGCTTTTCAAAAAGGAGTTGTTGGTAGGGGCCAAGCCATAGGAGGCAAAGGTTGTTGTACACTTGTACTGGCATTACATACAGTACTCTACATGTACAAACCTGTCTCTTTCTTTATAAAGTCAATGGACGAATACATACGGTTGTTCTTTGTGCCTCTACCCCCTGTGCCGGCTATATCTCTTGTTTATTCTCTTTTGTTTGCTGGTACCTCAACAGAGGCCCACAAGCATAGCAAAAAATAATTGGGAGTCCCATTTATGATGTTCCATGCCTTGCAAAAGTTGCAAGGGTTCCAATCCATGAATAGTGTTCAGGAAAAGGACACAGCCACCTAAACTTCAGCTCCATGGATAGGAGCTTGCTGTTCCATCAGAAGTCTGGAAGAAAATGGTCTTTGCCTTTCTCATGGGTTATCCCTTCTCTGTCTCTTTCTCAAGGCCTCAAGGGATAAAAGGAGACTGAGACCTCCATTTTGGTTTGTTCATGACCCTTCTTATTCCTCCTGGCCCCTTTTCAGATATGTTGATTGCGGTTTATTGGTTGTATTAGATATTGGCAAAGTAGGCAGCAAATTATTAATTGCAGGTTCAGGATTGTAGTGATCATTCTGCAAAAACAAGTCCTCTACGATGCATGGTGAATAGATCAGGTTGTGTTAGATATACTTGCATGAGAAAAAAGGTATGCATAATGATTTGCTAATCATACTTTTGCATGATATAAAAATGACTCGAAATAAACATGACCACCGAATATTGTTTTTATCATCGATTTGCTGCTCTTTTATTTTTGTTACCACCCTTTAAGTGTGCAAAGAAAGAAAATAATAAGTATCATACAATTGATTGGTATATACAGTTACACTATCGAAAAGTCCAAAAGGTTATCAGAAAAGACCATCCTAGTGTTATTCTAGAAAGAACCTACAGGAAGCTAGATTTCAATGTGTCCAAAGTAGAATATAGGAGAGAAAACAACATGACATTAGAATATACAGTTAGATTATCTGAAGATGCCTCATTGTTCAAAAGATAATGGCAGAACCATACCGTGTAAAATTTCTAGCTAAGACAGACAAGATACAGAATTACTATACAATTCGACATGTCGTTTTCTTTCAGGAATGCTATTCAATTCCAGCTTTTAGGTGACTAACCTGGCAAATGTGCAGGCTGACAATCTGAGGCAACAAACGTTGCATCAGCTGCGGCGGATTCTAACAACCCGGCAGGCGGCTCGGTGTTTCCTCTCCATTGGGGAGTATTACCGCCGCCTCCGTGCTCTCAGCAACCTCTGGTCTTCACGTCCTCGCGAGTAAGACTCAGAACTGCTTATCTGAAAAGAAAAAAAAGATCAAATAAACTGTTCTAAATTTCCAAATCATTTTTCAGCCACATTATTGTACTGGAAGGAAGAAAGAAAATTTGAGTGAAATACCTCCAGCGAGTCATTAGATAAGCGATGAATTATACTAGTGTTCATAGGGTGGATGGTTGATTTGATCATTTGATGTGTTATATCGAGGACAGATATTCGTGCAATATCTCTTCTAGTCGGAGAAACAGATGAACATGGCTGGCATTGACTCTTTTTTCTCTTGCAACAGGAACTTCATTGGCACCGAGAGCGTCAGTCCCACAGGAACCGAGCTGCAACCGATGCATAATCAGCCTCAGCAGAATCAGTACTCAGGATTTTGAGAGCTTCTCCTGGAGGATGTAAACTCCGGCCAAAAGTGATGTTAGAAAGAGAGGGTGGGAGAGGGAGAGGGGTTGTAATGTTCTATTATTAAAGTATTGAGAAAGCAACATCACTAGGAAAAGGAAGAGGCAAAAATTTGTTGAGGTGCAATGCAATGCTGGTCACTGGCTCACTTGTTCCAAACTTCCAATGGCTCTTGAACAGGCTGAAGAGTTAGCACAGAAATAATTGTTGCAGACCAGAGCAATGCAAAGGCAGGAGATGCGTGGCTGCTCATGACTTGAGCAGACAAAATCCTCCCAAAAGACGATGCATAAAACAACCTCTAATATTTCTGCTGAACAAGCCATTTTTTTTAAAGGTAGGATGTTCCCAAGCTTACTTTGAAAATAGACATCTACAGATAACAACAGAACATGACGCAGATCAACACTACCAAAAAAAAAAAAAGAAAAAAGAAAACGTGCCAGCAAATAAGGCTTTCCCAACCTGGCACTAATGGCACTGATGGAAGAGAGATGATAACTGTCTGAACTCTGAAATCACGGAGGACAAATCTAATACCATCAATTGACAGACAAAATAGTTGTCACTAAGAGGTACATCTGAAATACATGTAAAAAACAGGACACAGAAAAACAACGCAAGTCACAAGGAATGTCACAATGCTTATTAGTAAAACAAGAAACAAATAGATGGAAGTCCCTTTTTTCAAAGACCAAATAAATGGAAGAAAGGGCAGATCAGTGAATTCAACTGATAAGAAGATCAAAGAACTAGAAAGGTGAAAAGCAACCCTTTTGTCATGTGACATCTACCAAGACCATTTGAGATATTTCTTGCCAGGCATGCGACTTTCCGTAGGATGTAGATTGTTCCAATAGTGCAGCTCTTGATTTTGATCCATCAACTGGCAAACTGGTGCTTGAGACAAGGGCAGAAAAATGGCAAAAATTATGAAAAGGCCAGAAGAGCATACTCCACACAAGATAGCATGATGGGATGAGTACACTACAGCTTAGCCACGATCATTACACACAAAACATGAGATACAAACATGAAAATTTTCATGAGTCAAGTATGAAATGTCCACAGAATACAGGGGTACAGCAAAGTGGTGAATAGTTGAGCATTTATTTCAGGCCAGATGAAAAGAACCTAACAGAGAGATAGATGCAAACTACCAAAAATGAAAAACATACCACATTTCGCTATAAATGAGAATCTAGCAGGCTAGCAGAGGCCCCTCTTTTTCAGAAAGAGAGATCCGACAATACCACGTCTCTGGCAAGCATTCAATGACAGGGAAGATCATTAGAGCAAGTTTAATAGTACACTATAAGGCAAATAAACTTATGTGGAGGAAAGAGAATTTAGAAAATGAAAAAGATTGGCTCTTATTATGCAAGAGATAGCTATTCACATACTTCAAGATAAATACATTAAATGCATATGCATGAGAGAGATAGAGAGAGGAGAAAAATAGAGAGATAACCTTATAGCTCATCACTATACATGTTAATTCTAATATAAGCTATAAACTTAAAGTTGGCTCTATTATAAAACTTGTTCTTAGGCTGCGTTCGGCAACGAGCTTTCCCAACTTATACCTCTCAATTTTCCACACACACGTTTTTCAAATTGCTAAATGGTGTTTGCAAAACTCTTCTATAGCAAAGTTGTTTTAAAAATCATATTAAATCCATTTTTTAAGTTAGTTTGAGCTAATACTTAATTGCTCAAGCGCTAATGAGTTGCTCTATTTTTTGTGCCGAAGGGGAAGGAAAGGTTCCCAACAAGGGTTTTACTTTTCAATTTCGAAGTAAAAACCGCTCCTCACCGGTTTACCGAAATCCGACCAAAAACCGGTAAAAACCGATGACTTTCGGTCAATGCGGTACAAAACTGGTCCGGTTTTCATAAACCGAGACCTAGCAGTTTCAAGAAATCCGATTGGTTTTCGCGAAATTCCATCTGTGAACCCTAATCCCAAGTCAGGGCAACAAACGCAGCCAACAGAGCGCCTAAAAGAGCTGGCGTTGTAAGCCACAGTAGTAGAAGTTTTACAACATACTCCCAAACAATTAACTTAGAGAATGAAATGCCTTGGACATGACTAGGATAACAGTAGATAATGCCAGAGCATTTAAACTTCATCTCAATTATCACAGCCACTGAGCAAGTTAGTTTTCTTGCGAGATCAATGCCTTTTTCGGGTATGATCCGAAAGAATCGCATAACTCACATCTGATTCCCCACTTCTTTTTGAGGGAGTGAGCAAGTGTTTTGCCCATTCCTCTAAACTTTTACGATGAAGAGAATTCATGCTAATAGAAGGTCGCTTCTCACGAATCATTTGCTCAGCAGCTTTCCAATCCTCAGCTAATCCCAATGCAACAAGAAGTGCACACATCACGCAGACGCTTCTTCCATGGCCTGTTACAAAATAACAAAAGGTCAGTGATGAATGGTGTGATTCTGTGGCCTACACTTACAACACCTGTTGTTACATGAAACTTGGTGTTATATAAAGTATGATACCATCATTACATTTCCCGTCATTTATATGTTAACGTTGAAATCTGAATTGCACATATGAGCATACATGAATATCATGGCAATCATAATGGATATTGTTTTATGCCATAAATTTTGCCTTAGTCTATGCGAGGGAACTTAACTTCATGTCGATTTGTATGTGATATAAATCAGAAATGCTAAAATAACTGCATGACGTGATAATTGAAAAGCATGCATAATCAAAACATCAAAGCACTTATGTTTGTGACTAAACAATCAAAATGATACGATGTAGTTATTGTGTGAAAATACAAAAATCTTCATCAAGTTGAGACGGTAAAAGTGGTTCTAGAAATGCATAAACATGATCGTTAATATTACTATTTTGAAGAAAAAAAGACATGTATGGAAACACACTATTGTTACCACATAAGAGCTAAGCAAAATCTCAGAGAATAGCAAGCTCACCATAGGCACAGTGGACATATACAGCTTTGTTCTGCGAACGCTTTCTCAGTGCCCATCTCACGGCAGACTCAATCTGCGATGGTTGAGGAGCCCTTGTATCCCAGGTGGCAACACACAAATATGAATTCTCGGATATAGTAGAGCTTCTTGGGAGCTCGCACGTACAGTCTATGACTGCAGGTTCACCAGGGGGCAGGCGCTCAACTGAAGAGGGCCACCCTCCAACATACACTCCATCAGCAATCTCAGTGTACAAGGGCTCATTTTTCACAAATCTTCGTAACAGAACAAACAGATGGATGAAAAGAAGAAATGGTGAGAACATGATCCATGACCACACAGGAAAGCTTCCATTCGACCCCTTGCCAAGGAGCAAAGGAAGGTCAATTGATGGATGTGAAGCAATAGAAACAAGCATCGCAATCACAGAGGCATATATGAGGGGAAAAGAAAGCAGTGTCATGTCCAATCTATGGAAGAAATAAGCCACAGAGAGGAACACAGCTGCTTTCAGTCCAATCAACCGGGATATCCCCCAACCCATCTTTGCCAATCACCAAACGCTTGGGTCTTCAAATATTTGGGTGAACCCTAGCATCATCGAGGGATGGAGTACAATATAAGCAAAACTTGAATCGGAAAGAATAATTTTGTATATTAAACTCAGTTCCACCCAAGGTCAAATTAACTCCTTAAAATTCGACAATGTGAAGCCCACAATTAGTTCAAAACGTGTAATAAACAAGAAATCTGCAGTTATTTACATGGAAAGGACTGGCAGCTATTTGATCACATCAAGAAACTAAGAAGCAGTAAGTACGAGAACGAGATAGCAATCAATCATGAGATCTCTATCGCAATATTACACCTACACCCAGGGGCGGATCCAACTTGGGACATGGGGGTTCAGTTGAACCCCCAAACTTTTGGTGGAACAAACAACAAACTGTTATTTGTATTAAGGTTAAGGCTCTGAAATTAAGAGGAGAGCTTCTTCCAGATCTAGAAGATAAGCTAGGGTTAACGCAAGCAAATTACACAAAAGTACTCCCGGTGAGAGAGATGAATCAGAAAGAGGATGCAGATGCTCACCAGGATCCCCTCCCCTCCCTTGGTCTGCTCGTCGGATAGAGATCGGCGCCCCTCCCCGGTTCAGCCGCGAGATGGCGCAAGGAGCGGGAGAGAAGAGACGGGAGACTTTCTTTTACACGCAAGGAAAGGGAAGATACTCGAGTATCTCCGCCTTTATCTTTTTTTCTTACTTTAAACCTGGCTTAGTAATTCCACTGTTCTAATTTTAAACAAATATGACACTTTCTCCTACTGAAATGTCCTATCCGTCTAAAATCTATTAGAAAGTGTCTCATCCGTCCAAAATATAAAAGTGTCACATCTGTCCAAAATCTACTAGAAAGTGTCTCAGTATAAAACTTGTTTAAATAATGTCATAGTCAGAGGCCATGGGAAAAGAAACACTGAGGAAATATTTTTTTATAATAATTGGTGGCTCACATATTAGCACTACTTAGAGAAAAAAATACAATAAACTTGATTAGAGATTGTGTCGATAGCAAACTCTTCGGACCACCAGTAATCACTACCTGCCGCTCCACGGACCGCCACCACCGCTCTTTCTCAATGAGACCACCACCGTCCCTCCGCTTCGTCTTTGCATGTCCAGCCACACCCTCTAGTTATCAATATATTTTTTTATTCTCCCGTCGTCATGCACGCTATTGTTATGGTGGTCATTGAGATTGAGAGTATTAGACTTGTAGAGACTTGGAGAGGTAGGAACCAACACGAACACGAGTGGAGACGCTAAGCCCGATGCTGGCAACCTCGTGCTTAGGGATGTAAGTAGGTAATCCCGCTACCTGCATAAAAACCTGCTTGCTAGTTTATTTTTTTTATAGTAGTACAAAATTTAAAAAAAAGATAGACTAGAAGTGGGATAAGCGGGAAAAAAACCCGCTTGCCTGTCCCGCTTGCATCCCTGCTCCTGCTCAAGCGACGGCAACACGGCGAGATTAACCGAGGATCGGGGAATTCCCACAAACTAGCAAACCGTGTAACCTCGCGTCAACTTTTCCATCGGATCATAGAAGCCGAACTTTTCGCCATCGCAAAGCCCAAATCATCATCAGCTTGTTTCGGTTTCCAGTTTATTCGGCCAGAAATTTGGGCCGTAATCGATACTACCAAGGTTTGCCTATACTGTAGCTTTTCTTTTTCCAGCGCATATGACATGAGAACAAACTTACAGATACAAACTAGTATACTATTGTATAATTTTATTCATCGTTGTTTTGTACAAACAGCGACATGTAACCATATAAGCAGCAAGGACCGGTGAACACGATGGCAAGACATGTGGGTCCAGGCAGGTTTACAAGCATCACAGCATATATGTATATCAACTACTACCATAATACCTTCACATCACTTAGTCTGAAAGAAGACTTAATGTGCAAATCCTCTTCAGAGCCTCAGAGGCTAGTGCCACACCAGAAGCAGGATGAGTGTGCCACTCGCCGGTCACCGCTATGCCCGTTTCACCACATGCAGCTGCCGCTGCGGCGCAGCTGGCTGCCACCCCTATTTGCATTCATCTTCTCCTTGGACTGCTCCATCATTTTCTCAACCAGCTGAAAAATCACAGGAACACGACATATTTCCATGAGCATATATACACACACAAATAAATGAATAACAAATATGTATTTAATAATTTCACAAAACGATGAGCACTATGCGGAATGGGGATTGCCACATGGGAGAGGACAATACCATTTGCTTCTTTGTCAGTAGAACCGTCTTCTGTAAAAGGAAGATAATATAGACATTGTATATTTATCAGTTCAATGTTACAGAAAAGGAAGGAACGAGACTGTTTAGGAATGACAATGAAAGCTGAGTGGATAATGTTTCTTGCTTTAATACCTCTGCCTCTTTGAGACGAGCGTTCTCCTGCTTGAGATAGTTCAGTTCAGCTTCGAGCTCCACCGTATAAGCCTGTAGCATTATTCATAAAAATTTCAATCTCCATGCAAAATGTCTTAACGATACATAGAAACTAAAAGGTTCGGAGCAACATGTGTACCTGCTTTCTAGCACGGGACCGTGCAGCTGACTCACGGTTCTTGATCATGCGCCGTTGGCGGCGCTCCACCGTCTTCTCGGCGCAGCCATCCTCTCTGTGGGGACGCTTTCTTGTTCCATTCTCAATCATCATCCCATTCCCAATACAATTCATCATATCAGCATGTGTCATGGCACTCATCCCATCTGATGATCCAGGACTCACGACAACCATGGCACCTTGGGCGGGAGGTGGCGGTGGCACAATCGCCATCCCGTTGTACCCACCGGGGTACCCCATGCCATCACCCATCACCGGATACATGGCGTTTACCGGTCCTACTGGGAACATCATAGGACCGCCTTGGCCCTGCTGCATGGGGTTCACCGGCCCGTTGACCATGCCAGATCCCATGGCCGCTTGCCCGGTAAAGGACCCTCGGACCACCCCGGCCTTTACCAAGAAATCCTCAAGTGTCATCTCACCTAGTGTTACCTGTCGGTCGTTAGCTGCAACACCACCGCTCCCGGCATGTGGCTGGAGCGCGGAGGCCGGAGCGGAGGTGTGTGCAGGGGCTTGGTTGATCTCAGTCCACACCTCCTCCACCGTCTTCTGGCACAGCGGTAGCGGCAAGGAAAATGATCCCTGCCGACATAAACCGCTTCCTCCTGCATCACCGCTTCCGCTTCCACTGTCTACCACCTTGGCTTCCTCCATGGCACCCTTGCAACCTCCGGTGGTAGCCTGGAATTCTTCAGCATTCCATATGTTAGCCACAAACTCGTCCATGTTCATGGAACCAAAGTTGCGTCCTGGCTCACACAAGGAGTTTTGTAGCTCTTCCAAGGTGAGGGAGAGGATTGACGACTGCCGCGCCAGTGGAGCAATTTCCTCCTCCCCACCTACTTTTGTACCACCACTTTGGTCACGCTCCTGTGATGTAACCTCTTGATCATCGGTGACCTTCACGTTCTTGCTCATCTCCGATGCCATCTCACTATAACACTCAATTTGTAAAGTTCTATTAAATTTTCTAGGTGTGTCCCTTCAGCTATGGATGCCACCCCTTTTTATAGCCTGTGATGCAAAAACGAAGTTGGCTGTTAGAACATAGAAGAGGGTTGAAAGGTGTAACATGACTGCATCCAAAAAACTTAAGGTAGGTGTGTTGTTTGTCATATGTACTTTATTAAAAGAGTGTGCAACTGATGATGTGCTTGGCTTGAAGTTCTAGGCGATTACGTATGGATGGTAGATAACCAGATAAGCACTCCCAAGTTTGGAAGTTGGCTTATGCCTTATTTTCTTGATGAATCTTTCATACTGCTTTATTTTAACATAGATGATATGGAAAAAATGTGTTGCTCACATGAATGCTACATATATGGATGCCTTGAATGCATAGAGAACGTTACTGGCATAATTTGCGTAGGGCGAAATTACTCTCACCATAATTCACACGGTGTTGAAGGTTTTCAGGCATAGCATCATTCGGATGGAGGTATACCTTGGACTCACCCTCTTTTTTTCTGGACTTCAAGACACTGATGAGGTACTAATATAAATATAATTACACTATCATTTAACGTTTGCTGGCCATTTGACTAGACATCTGAAATAGCTGAAGTGGGTATTAGTTTAAAGTGCTTGCTTCATACAAAGTGTATTGGGTTCAAATACTTGGTCAAGTGCATTGAATTGTTGGTCTTGTTTGGTATTGCTAAACTGTCGCAAGTATACTCCCTCCAGTCATGAAAATGTATCATTTTTTAAAATTGGCACAATTTACAAAAATCAACTTTGACTACTTATTTTCTTTGTATAATTGAAAAATCTAGTACATATAATAATATGATTTTCTTGTGACCAACCGAAATAGTACTGAGATGTCGCATTATATTTTTCTAAAGATTAACGATGTACATCCAAAAGTCACACTATGGGACTATAGGTATATGACACAACTAGAGATAGGTTTGCCAGGTAATTCATAAAAAAATATATGCATACATTTTGCTAGCTTGAAAGTTGGATATTGACAATATTGCTGGTCTTTCAAACAATATTTATAACAGAAGTAATTAACAATCATCATTGTAGAAAAAAAATGATATTTTTATATTTTGTTGTACGGAGTGGCATAACACCAGAGCACTACTTTTAAAGATGAAGATAGAGATTTCGTCATCTTTGGCTGCAAGGACGAAGTTTTGGTTGAACCAAGCCATAGGAGATGACGGGCGGCACCAGCACATGCGTGACTAGAGCAGTCTCATGGAGGGTGGATGCTGCTACACCAGAAGCGTCACCATGTTCGCAGATTGTGGTCAGTGGCGAAGCTAGAGCAAAACAGAGGGTGGTGCACCACTATAGTAGCAATATACTACCATGTTCGAAAATGATATACGTACGACCTATCATGTTTTATCAAAGAACATTATGGTAAACAATAGTAAAACCATTGATTTCAGTATCTACATTAACATGAACGAGTGATATAAGAACGAAAACTTAGCGGTAAATTATAAAACTACTTGCCAAAATGGGAATTCCCAATGACGATACTTATCAGCGCAGTGTCCTGAAGAAGTTAAGATTAAAATCACAACCAATAGGTGGCCAAAATTGGAGAACTACTCGTCCAACATCAGCATCTCAAGGAAAAAAAAAGACAAAACAACTTAATTTTTCGTTTGAAATTATCGAAAAAATGGAATGAAACTATGAAAGCAAATTGCAAAACTTTCTTTTGACGTCACCCCTTGCCTGCTACGATTAATAGGTGATAAGACCATAGGCTGTGGCTGGCCACCGAGTGCATTCTGTTTCACCTTGAAGTAGTTAACAACGCTGTTATGCAGGGCAAATTTGTCAACTAAACATGCTGCACCACAAGAAAATCCTCATGGCTGTGCGCTTCTCTGTTGGCCTTGTTACCTTTGCTCGGCCTGATGGTCTGCTTGGGGGTACACATTGTTGGGATGAGGGGGGTGCATATATGGTGGAGATGGGGTAACCATAGCTAAAACTTTTCTCTTACCCAGGTGCCTAGGAACCCTCATAGCTGCATGTAGCTTCGCCCCTGATTGTGGTGGTTTCCGTAGGCGACTTGGCATGCACATGTGATCGGCGAGGGGCTTCACTACCGTCACCCACCTTGCAAACGACAATAAGCACTAGTTTGTCATTCTGGCATGGTAGTACCTAAGGCATGGTAAAAGCACTAGTTTGGTTGTGTTTAGTTCACGCCAAAATTAGAAGTTTGGTTGAAATTGGAATGATGTGATGGAAAAGTTGGAAGTTTGTGTGTGTAGGAAAGTTTTGATGTGATGGAAAAGTTGAAAATTTGAAGAAAAAGTTTGGAACTAAACTCGGCCAAAGCTTTATATCTCGATTGAACATATCTTCGTTTCTGTGAGTCTTTCTTTCTTAAGAAAAATATTGGACATAAGCTTTGGCTGAACCATGACGGGTAGGAGAGGTTAAATGGCATCTTAATCACTCCCAATCAGATAATAGGTGATGTGCCAGCTAACTTTAGAACATTGTTATTTCAAGCCGATATTAGTAATTGCCAATTTTTTCTATAGAGTTTCATGAGAACATGAATGCACCCTCTAGTGTGTCAGTGTCCAAAGGAAAGTCATAATTTTAAAAAAGAAGAAAAATCAAGTGATATCCACTATAGCTCAGTTTTCAAAAGGACCGGTCACTATGGATAGACAGGATGCGAGGAGGCGTGTCCATTTCGGAGTATTTGCTTGCAGCTTAGCTTGTGTGGGATATATCGCCAATACATCCATGAGATAAGGGCCTTGTGAAAGGACAAACTCGTGCTGACTTAATTGGCGTGCGGTTTGTTCCTTTCAATAGCCGACGGTGGCCGCCACGAAAGATACCTCATTCTGCCGACTTAGCTTGAGTGCGTTAACAAACCCTACGAATCTGGACTATGGCATTTTAATAGAGGCATTTTTTTTTTGTTTATAAGAGGGTAGAGGTATTTTTTAGAGATATCAAAATTGTACCACAACCATATCAAACCAATGTGAAAGAGACACTTTTTTATGTCAAACCACATTTTATAAAATGTATCTATGTCTTGTGGCATTTTAATAGAGGCACTTTTTTTATGTCTTTAAGAGAGTAGAGGCATTTTTTTAAGATATTAAACTGCACACCAATGTGAAAGAGACACTTTTTTATGTCTATAAGAACCAATGTGAAAGACACTTTTTTTATGTCTATAAGAACCAATGCGAAAGAGGCACTTTTTTATGGCTATAAGAACAAATGTGAAAAAGGCACTTTTTATGCATGTAAGAGGGTGGAGACATTTTCCAGAGTTATTAAATTGTACCATAACCATATCGAACCAATGCAAAAAAATAGAGTATTTTTCCCCTTGCTATAGCCAATCATTGAACTCAAGATCTCTTAGGTATACTAATGTTATCTTCAATGCACTAACCAACTCAACCTCCTATCATTGTTGTTGTGTTTGTGCCTTATGTACTTATATTTATTCCATTAGTATATATTTGTATTCTAAGAAGTGTCTCTACAGAGTTTAAAATGTCTCAAGAAAATATCTTTACATATCAGGCACACACATTTTAAAGTGACAAAAATAATGCATCTACGAGATAAAATTTAACAAAATGTGTTGAAAATGTTTCTAAAGTGTCTTTAGAGTAAAAGTTTTTAGACAATTTTTAAAGTGCCTCTAAAAATTTCTCTACACTATAAAACTCATGATTTTAGAGGCAAATTACAAAACGTCTATACATAAGGGGTTTTTTTTTGTGCTAACACAAGTTTCTCTTGGCTTCATTGAGTTGCATGCACAACCAACCAATTTACCTAGAAGATTAAACTACTATCAAAAGGTAAGCAGAAATTATACGTGTGTTATTAGGGATGCAAATATTGGATATGTATCCATGACGTCATGGGTACCCGACCTGTTCATATTGGATGCGAAACTGCAAGCCAAATTATCTAGCGTAGGCCAATATGAGTGTCCATGGACCAACCCACTTGCATCGATATTACTATAGGTTGTGCAACACACCATAATTTTCCTTCGACTGCAATTGTAATTTACCAACAACAGAACCTCGTACTGTTGTTAGTTCTTGCATTTTTCTTTGGTTGAACAAGAAGTCACGATGTGATCATGTGAAATTCAGGCGGGCCAAGGCTGATTTTTTTTCCTTTTAAAAGCTTTTGGTGTTGGAATTTAATCCAACTAATTAATTGAGTCTTAGCCTAAACATGATCACCTTCTGCTTATACGGAAATTAATTTATCACTGACCTGAGATGAAGCCATTGCTTCTCTTCTTTCTTCTTCTTTTGTGAGATACCTCACGAACCCCTTCCAGTGTCTAATCGATCGGGCGATTGATTTAGGGTTTAGGGTTGGAGAGAGTTAAGTCGTCACCCAGCCTCCCTCCTTCTCTTTCTTTATATAGCGACACTGGTGGGGCTCGGGGGTTTATCTCAATCTAAAATTTGAATATATTTTGTACCGATCACACAAAACAGATTTATCTTTTAGTTTGTTTCTTGTTAGGATAGGAAAACCGGTGGGATTTTAACCTTATCCTAACTAACCGGCATTAGCCAATAAAATCAACCAACATTCTCCCCTTGATTTTGAGACTAACTGACGAGTTTATCAAATAAAATACCTCCCCAAGGCAATGTGTCTTCAACAACATTATGCGTCACCGAGACAACAAGACCTATAGTGAACTATAGTACCCAAATAAACTCAAGCTTAACTTAGTGGGTGTTGATTGAAAAATTAAGTCCCCCTCATCCAGGATCTTAGTGAGGCTCTTATTTATGCACGTACTGGCCAGAACATATCTTAATTAATCTTAACTTTATGAGCCTTTAGAGTATGGATCCATGAGCAAAAGCTTAGCTTAATAATAATTCGATCCTGGGACATATCTTTCACAACTATGTCAATGTGTTAGGCAGAAAACACATAACATGTTGCTACTAGAATAGAAACCTGTGTTGCACACAGTATAATTGAGTGGTTTACACCTTTTGAGTGGTTTA